TGAACAAAAGTCCTTGGTTAGCTCTAGCTTAGGTTTAGGGTAAGGTTTGGGTTGGGTTTAGCGATGAAATTAATGATTTAGTCTCGGTACGTAAGCTAATTATTTGAAAACAATGAATACTCACGGGCAGGTTGACACAGCCTAAAAAGTTTGATTTGTAATTCATATGATAAACTTAAGATTTAAGTATGTCATTGCTAAGCTTTGTACATTATTATCTTACCTTGAAGTCTAAAGCGGAATAGAAACCGTCCATTTGCTTGAAGTTTATTTATAAGGCCGTGAAAGCTACTTTTAGCAGAGACGCCATGTTGACACGTACTCGAAGCGAAAACCCAGTCAAAACTTATTGCAATCGGTACAATTCTACGTCAAACAACATAATTTTTACAATTTTTTCTCCTCTTGAATCCAGGTTTTTAAGTTAGTGCGATGGGTCAGTTGTTTTCGGCAAATATCGATTGAATCCACAGCATATAACACAGGAAACCCATCATGGTGAACCTTATACTTTATTTACCGATCGCAAAAATTAAAAGAATTTCTTAAAAACAAAACTTTATGCAGAAACATGTTTGTTTATATTATTAGAAAAAGGAGAAAAAGAAAAGAGAATCTCCAAAACAGCAAAAAGAAAAAAAGAAAAAAATGTCCTGTCTCAAGCCGGACTCGAATAAAATTTGAATGAAATTTATTTCGCAGCCAAAAATATTATAGAAGTTACTATAGTAACCAGATTAAGTGAATATATAAATATTATAAATAATAATTAATCGAAAAGCACAGGGAGACCAACTAGAGGAAGTAAGTAGAATAACATTAATATAATTAATATGATTAAATAAATAACCGCTGACAAAAACATCGCATGCTCAAGTTTACAGGAAAGTGATCGAGCGAGCGAGCGAGTGACAGCTGTCCCATCCCAACAACTCTACGATTGCTGACGCAATCTTCGAGTTAAAAATGACAAGCAGAGAGTTTTTTAACATTCATTCAAAAAATAGCAACAATGAATATATATTAAATAAAATATAGAATTTGAACAATAATAGTTTACGGTCTGGCTCTATCTCAGTGAGTGTTCTTATCGTTTAGCAAAACGCTCAATCAGGCAGATAGTTCAACGAAATCCTCTCTTCGTCAGGTATCGAGCGTTCTTCAAAAGCTTTTAGGTACATAACATTTCCTTCCATTAGAATTCCATCGATAATATCGGTTGTCCATGACTACAAAAATCGCACGATTTGCCACCCAATAAAGCTGAAAGACTCGGCATAAAAGCACACTGGTGTCTTCCCCTAGAAATATCGCTAAAGCGATTATTACCTTGATGGATACCCCCATGAGCGAAAAAACCTGGGAGGGGGGACTTCTTATAAAGCATGGTAGGTATACCTTTTAGGGTCATTTTTCAATCCGTCCGTCGAGCATACCTACCATGCTTTATAGGGAAGTCCCCCCCTACACTCCCGGCGAAAAAAAAGTAGAATTTACCATGACAAATTCCGTCTCATTACACAATGTAGACGAAGAACGCATGCGCAGATTGAAATTGGAACATCACCACAAAGTTTACGAGCATGAACGTGCCCCTCAAAGATATGATTTCACTACTTTGAAAGACGTACCTGAGTAGTTTTGGCTTCATTCCTTGAAATATTGACGTTATATATGTTCATGAACTCTGCACAGAAAAGAATTTATTTTCTCGGGTCTTGCGATCGAGGTTGCACGTGCATCATACATTTCTAGTGAGTAGTTTTAATTCCATGGTTTTCTAACAGGTCTCCTGTCAGAACTTACTATGGCAACCGAGTCCACAGTGCTAGTGATCTGCGGTGGTGGTAACGGTGCGCATGCGTGGTCAGGCATTGCTTCTTCTCAACCCAACACCGAGGTCCGTGTTCTAACTTTGAACCGGGATAGAGCACAGCGTTGGTCAGATTCGCTTGCCAAGGAAGATCAAGTCCAAACCAAAGTTAGTCACCAAGAACCCCGAGGAAGCTATACCCGGATGTGACGTCATTGCTTTCGTGCTACCAGCCTTTTTGCATGAGCAGTATCTAAAAACCATCAGGCCATACATTGAGCCAGGAATGATTCTCATTGGTCTTCCTGGACAATCTGGTTTTGAGTTCCAAGTTCCTGGTATTCTCGGCGACGTCACCAAGCACTGTGCTATCGTCAGCATGGAGTCGTTGCCATGGGCAACACGTATAACAGAGTTTGGAAAGTC